TGGGGGGTATTATATACCAAAAGACTGCGTCCCACAGTCCACAGAAGGAGGAGGCCAGAAGTATCAGCGGAATGGTCGGTCGAAGCTGTCAGCACGGCACTTTTACGTCATCAACAGAAAAAACAATAGTGCTCTTCCGGACAAAACACCATACGAGGCAAGCTTTAAAATCAAGCCACGTGTTGAATATTTACGTGAGTTTGGATCTCAATGCTATGCACACGTAGATGACTTTACGCAAACGAACCTCAAAGCAAAGAGCTATCAGTGTTTGTTTCTGGGATACGCCGACAACACTAAGGGATATAGGGTGTTTCACTTTGAGTTTCAAAAGATTAGAGTGGTGTGATCAATTAAACTTGACGAGCGTGAAGTTGATGGCATTTACCACATCTAGAAGACTTACCGATTCACGGTAGTCAACATTATTAGCAATGAAAAGGTTCCGGTGCGAAGTGATAGCTCAAGATTCCAAAACCAAAATTATCAACCTATTGTGGATGGGCCGATTATGCCAGATGAGGAGCCTCGCGAGGACGTTGTGACAAGACCTACATGTAGAACCTCCATCAACTGGTCTGGAAATCTCGACTTTTCATCGATCAAGAAGACCGATGACGAGGAACAGCATGGCGCATTATCCGAACTCAGAACAATGCACCGTGGGCACAGCCCGTTCTGCTGTTGGGTAACAGCAATCGAAACTTTAGCTCGACATGTCTAAGATCGACAAACATAGAAGAGATCAACGAAGATCAAGTGGACGCTAGAGAATATCCGAACAATGACGATCGTTCCTGGTCGCTATCGCTGAAGAGATCACGAGTGGATGAAGATGGATTTATTGCTGAACCTGTGCTGGCAAATGCAGGAAACGTAGGTGATACTGATGATCCGCCAACCACATATCAGCAGGCCATGGCTAGCCACGATGCAACCAAAATGACCGGAAGTTACGATAGATGTGATAAAGGCGCACAAGCTTAATGAATCTTGGGCATCGGGTCCAAGAATGAAGGGAGTGCGAACAATTGGATGACGCTGGGTCTTTGTGAAAAAGCGTAACGAATACGGAGATGTTGTTAGATACAAGCCTCAGCTGGTAGCAAAGAGATTCAAACACAGGTTTGGAATTGATTTCGTTGAGACGTACTCTCCAGTGACCAACATAAATGTGATTCGCGTGATGTTAGCCGTTAATGAAACTGAAGGCTTTGTAATCGAGCAGCTAGATGTCGGCACCGTCTTTCTAAACAGTGACTTCAAAGAATATGTCTATATGGATTTACCTCACGGCGTCGCAAACAGCAAGAGCTGCGTATGTCAACTCGACAAAGTAATCTGTGACCTTGAGCAAGTGGCGCGCATGACACAAGACTATTCATCAAGTTTTCATGTCATTTTCAAGAGTTTTGGAGCTTTTTACTGTGTTTATGCCGAGAAGACAACTGCTGGTCTGTTGTACATGTCGATGACGTGGTTATTCCAGCGAAAACAAGCAGCGAGGATCTAGAAATCAAGCGTAAGCCTGAAGGCGTTTGGCGAAGTCAAATTCATTCGGGGATGAAGATTAATCATGATAAGACAAAGAATTGCCTTATGGTCAAGCAGACTCATTATATTAACAAATTTGCTTAGCGATTTATCAAGCAATACTTCTAGGCCGTCGAGAATTCGTGCGAATCAGGCTGGAAGATGTCAAAGATGCAGTAGCCGATAACGGACGCTGGGCGAGATGAGATGCGCTGTAATTTGCACAGGTCGCTAATTGGTGGCATAGAGTCCCGCTTGGCGATGCTTCGTCTACCATCCTGCGGACTTGAGCTTTCAACAACCCCAGCCACTAGGTAGTCTGTCCCGAGACAGTTAGATCGGGATGCTCTTCCACTGTGTCGAAAACGAGAAGTACAAGCAAAGCAAAGTGAGCACTCCACTGGATTAAACGGTAGTCAGGGCTGCGCTGTTGGCCCGGTGGCTGAACAAAGAGCTTGTACTGAACCGGGATTCGTAGCTGAACTTAAGAGTGTCTAGGTGGCGCGAGTCGCGTAGCTCGGTCAGGAGACGCTTCATCGCTGAAAAAAGTTTCATCCAGCAGGTGGTCGTTCTTTTTGATCCCCTTGTTGTTGACTGTCAGCAGACAGACGTTTTGCCACAATATCTCGGCCATGTCTACTGGCCGAGCCACCTTAAGAACTCAGACTAAGAGGACCATCCACAAGTGTTACCAGATTGTCCACCTTTTGCAGCTAGGGCATGCTTGCATTGTCCGGCAATAAGTCAATCCGAACGAAATCACAATCCGCCATCATACAGTTCGACAATGCCGTATTCACGCCCATCTACTACAATACCTAACGATCTACAGCACATACATCCAGTATGGCCGGTAGCCGTTATTGAATTTAGTTTTGCAGCAGATGGATGTATTTCGAAGAAGTTTATTACATATGCCGTTGTGAGCCCCTTTACCACCAACCGTACCTTGAACCGAAGAACACGTCTGTTCTTGGCCCCGTCCATTTTAAGCACAAAACGTACCAGTAGACCGCATGCTTGGTCTACGTCACACTAAAGTCCATGCATTATTCTTAACAAACAACTCTAACTTTGCCTTTACAGCCTCCCGGCTATTTCGCTTTGCGTGTGCGCATGTTAATGGCAACTCCACAAAGTCGGCAAATCTACAATACTAGCTGCGTTTGCCAGCTTTGCCCGTGCTATAAATTGTCTTTATGAATCCGAGCGCGTTTCGAACATGGTGGTCCATCATTTTCGTATTCAGAGTTAGGAACACCAGTTTGCATCAGCGTTTTGTAAGTTCTGTTCCAGAAAGGAAAGTACCTAAATCTTCATTAGACTCTAGAAAACGACCGATGGAGGATAACTTAAACTTATTTCGATCCAAATCCGTCCGATGATGGTAGCAAAAGCAATACAGTGTTCTACACCGGTTCGACATCGTCCATCTCAACGTCTTTGCCGATTCTTCGTTCACTTTCTCTTATTAGTCCAGAACCGGTAGCGATCCACTTGTGTCGGCTGGATGAGTCATCAACGGAATGCCCATTTCGTAAGCTAGTTTTGCGTGTCGTATATTCCGTCCACACTACGCTCGTCCCAC